ATATTTTTGGGGTCTCTATTTTTACAATAATTTTTTTTCTAAAATATTATTGGGGTCTCTTGGGGTTCTAGCATTTTTAACGCATTTTTGGTGTCATATTTTATTTTAATTTAATTAATTGAGCCTTACAATACATTTTTTAAAAATATTTTTGGGGCCTCTATTTTTACAATATTTTTTTTTTCTAAAATATTTTTGGGGTCTCTTGGGGTTCTAGCATTTTTAACGCATTTTTGGTGCCAATTTTTATTTTAATTCAATTAACCAAGCCTTACAATACATTTTTTATAAAATATTTGGGGTCTTTATTTTTACAATATTTTTTTTTCTAAAATATTTTTGGGGTCTCTTGGGGTTCTAGCCAATTTTTATTTTAAATCAATTATTCAAACCTTACAATTTATAATACATTTTTTATAAAATATTTTTGGGGTCTCTATTTTTACAATAATATTTTTTATAAAATATTTTTGGGGTCTCTTGGGGTTCTAGCCAATTTTTATTTTAAATCAATTATTCAAACCTTACAATTTATAATACATTTTTTATAAAATATTTTTGGGGTCTCTATTTTTACAATAATATTTTTTATAAAATATTTTTGAGGTCTCTTGGGGTTCTAGCATTTTTAACGCATTTTTGGTGCCTAAATTCAATTAACCAAGCCTTAATAATTTATTAATATTTTTTGTTTCGTTATCAAGAAAAAGTAGTTTCCAAAACAAGAAATATATTGATCTAAAAAAATTCTTTTAGAATTGACCCTATATAAAATTTAATATTTTAGAGGTTTAATATTTTTGAATCGACCCAAAACAAGTATAAAAATAAATCTAAAATTATTTATTTATTTACAAAATAGTGAACAATTGAAAAAGTTATTATATACCTTCTATTGTGTATTTTGTTTATTTTCAATTCAAATTTTAGTCAAAAAAATCCAGGTAGAAAATTTCTCAAAATGTGAAAATATAGAGAAATGCAACAGAAAAATTAATTAATTTGTGATCCAAAAAGGGTCACAAATCGAATAATAAATTTTGTAAAAATATCTTTAAATATTATTAAACAAAAATTAAATAAAATTTTAAAAAATTCTTTTTATTTCATGATTCTGTTATCTATTGATAAATGCAATTAAAAGCGTCATTTTAATTAGTTTTAATTAAATTAATGAATCATGTCATACAAATAAAATGATGATTGAACATTATCAGTTTAGTAAGAAATTGTGATTAGATATTGAATTTTTTCTGCTTATATTTGTTTAAAATATTATCATTTGGGTTTTGTTTGTTTTGATGCAAATGTATTTATAGAGTAGAAACTATTTGGTAATAATTATTAATAAAATAATTAATAATAAATAATTATTTAATTAATATAAATAATTAAATTAGCAATCTGCAATTTGGTAAAATTGTTCTTTAATATATCTATTTTGACGACAAATTTTAAAATTGATGGATTTTTATATATTTTTTGAAATATCCAAAATAATTTGAAAAAAGTACCCTTTCCCTGGGCTCCTACAAACAAAAAATCGATTGGTATTTATTGTAATATCAATATTTATATTTATATTTTTACCTCAATTTACGTTTTTTTTGGACAAAAGCCCCAAACAATATTTATACCTATATAATTATATTTTTGGCAAAAATATTTTACACAAATTTATGGATCAACCCAGGTCAAAATCTTTTATTTTTCCAAAATCACAGTTTCAAAAATTCAATATAATAATATAAACCTTTAACAACTTTTGCATAAAAACAACTGTTTTCACTAACAGGTTTTTCAGGTAAATTCCTGGTAAGAAATCCTCATACCTGACAAAGGTTTTTGACACCTTGCAGGATTTTTAAATTTATACCTAGGTAAAAATTTTAGACCTGAAATAACTTTAGTTTAAAATTTGTGTGGAGTTAACATTTAGAAAATATTATTTTGAATTAAAATTTTAAAGTAAATAAAGTTGTTGTTAAGATTTTGGTTTTAAGGAATGTGTTTGCGTAGTTGTGTGTAAAAAATTGAAAATAAATTCAGAAGGTTTGTAATTTAGTAATTTCTAAAACAAAAGTCTAATTACTAGAAAAATCTTTAATAATATAATGTATATAAAATCTTGTTTTTTATTATTGCTATTTATTTAAAGTTTCATACATGATTTCACAAATATTAACAAATTTAAATCGCAAATTGCTTGTTTAAACGCAACTTTCAAAAATTTGTTGGGGTCACCACTTTTATTTGTTTTAAATTCAATAAGTGTGAAAATTGTTTTCTTTAAATTTTTGTTGATGTTTCATAAAAAACATGATAGTTTCGTAGGTTTGTTAGTTAATAATAATAAATTTAAATTTTAATAGTTAATAATAAGAATAATAAATTTTAAGAATATTTTATTAGTGCAATAGTTAGGAGAAATCTTGCCAAAATAATTTTGCGGAAATTCGACTAAGAATTTTGGCTTTGTTCCAGTCATGTTTTCTTCCAAAACATTCATTTTGTTTATTTGTAATCAATGCAGAAAATTGGAGTGTGCCAAATTGTATTTTTGATCAATAAATAAATAATTTATTTATGTGCCATTGTTGAATTCAGAAAATTACATACACAAAGTGCCTTTTGAATATTTTGATAAAATTATTTTTTTAAACAATATTTTTTAAGTTTTTTAGCATTATTTTGAACAACAAATAATTTTACATGTATTTTTGCTTAGGTATTATTTTTATTAAACCTAAAATATTATTACTAATATTTTAATAAAATTATGCACGTTATAATCATCTTATTTCGATTTTTATTCAATAAATAAAATGCTTTAAAAAATTAAATAATTAAATAATTCTCAGATTAGGATTTACTTACATTTTAAACAAAAGTTAATAATTTTAGTTCATTTATTTTGGTATTAATATTAAAACATTTTTAATGATTATAAGTGAACAAAATATATTATTCCTATTTAAAAAACAACTTCTCAGAATATTTTGTAAATAAATACCTTCTAAATATTTTTAAACAAATACTAATGTATTAAAAAATCATGAATTTCATTATTATATTTTTGATATTCATATTACTAGTTTCAAGAAGTTATAGAAAGGCTTAAAATATTTTATTTTGATTCAATTATTATTATTAATGTTATTAGTTTTGTAAATTTATTTTGCCTAAAATCATATTTTTTTACTTCATAATAATTTTTTTTAATACTTATAACCAGTGACCAAAAATAATCTAAATGATAAAAAAATAATTAATTTTTATTATTCATTGTTTATAATCATATTCTTTTAATTAATTTAAAAAAAAAATATTTCTGAATTTATTATGAAAATGTATGATTAAATTATAATTGTATAATATCGTTTTGGTCTTAAATATATTGTATCGGTTTCTTTATTATTAAAACTAATGTTTAAAATGTTTTAAAATTATCACCAGTATACAAAATATATTATAATGTACATATACAAAATATATGTATTATTATAATATCTAAAATGTTATTAATAATTTTATAAATGTTACTTTCATAATAGTAATAAAATTTTGGTTTCCTTTTAAATTACAAAAAATATGTTCAAATTATTTTGATTTTTAATTGATAACAAATATGTTAAGCAAAAATTATTACTTTGATTAAATTATGATTACTATTATTTTTATAATAACATTATTATTTAATATATAATAACATGTTTATTTTTCTATGCCGATTTTCTTGTTGATATCGGCACGCATACAACGTTGATGCCGGTACGCATACAACGACAGATCTCTATTCACATACACGACGACTAATCACAATCGACCCGTATAGAAATGATATCATTGAGAGCGAATGACGTACAGTTCGGGCGTAACTGACTTCCGTTGCATTTGTACGGATTCACACCATAGTCGCGCCTAAAGAAGTTTTACTTCAAAAGTTTTACTTCAAAAAAAGTTGTAAATTTTATTATAATTGCTGAACTGATTTCTTATTGATTGTTATAGTCGATAAAAAAAATCAACACAATTCTAACTCGTAAATATAAATATAAATATGAATATAAATATAAACATAAATATAAATATAAATATAATAATAGATTTAGAACTAGATTTAGAAAAATTTGCATTCAAAGAATTGCAAATGAAATTAAATACTTTCACTAATCGAGAAGAAAGAATTTTAGATTAAGATTTAAAATTAGATTTAGAAAATTTACATTTAAAGCCAAAGTATTTTATATTAATAAAGACTTCTACTAATTGAGAAGAAAGAAACGCCTTGTTGATACAATGTGTTTTTTATCCACTTGACTGTTTTTCCCAAGAAACATCATTTAAATCGCTCCATTCGAATCCCGAGAATCGATTCGAATGTATTTCAGTCGATTCGATTCTCCGAAGCGATTTTATTATCGGAGATGAAAATATAAAGGATAAATTAAACGGATAATATAATATTATAATGATTTTAACGAGCGAACAGAATAAAAGTTACGTATGTGCTGATTTAAACAAATTTATTCAAACAAATTTCAGAATAAACTTGCACTGAATGGAATACTCGAAAAGCTTTGATAAGCATTCCGTATGTTTTTCTTCTGAATAAAAGCTTTCATTTATTATGTTAGTTCTTGTGATTCCTTCACACTATGCGGATGTTTTATGAAATTGTGTTTTTATTTTTTCAGATTTGATTAAAACTTAAATTTTTTTTAAGTTTTATCATGGACAAAGTACTGAAGTTTGGGATTGTGTTGGTGGTTTTGTTATTTTTGCTGTTGGATTTGGTGAGTGCTGATTCTACGAAATGTGCAGGAGGACTTGCAGGGACCACTCCTGGTTGTAAGTAGAAATAATAATGTTTTTAAATAAAATTAGATTAATTGGAATTGCAAAAACTTTCACTAATTTTGTGAGATTCGAGACGAAAAAATTTGATATTTATTAAATTAATATATTGTAGTTTTTTTATCATTTATTATGGTCATTCTATGCCTCGGAGTATTTTTATTTATTAATTCTAGTCATTTACAGTTTGATTTTTAGTGAGAGTTTTGAAAAAAAAGAGTGCGCGTAAGGTTCACACGCGATTGAAGTAAAACTTATTTGCTACTGTACAAGATGGCATTTAAGTAAATATAAATACATCATACAACAATTTTGAATAATGTTTATTAGTATTATGGTAACACTCGCGATGCACATATTTATTAGTGTCAACCATTATGCACATTTATATAATGATAAATTATAAATTATATATTTATAATAGCATTAAAATATGTATAATATTTTGAAATAATAATGTAATTAAAGTCATACTTCAAATATGACATGATCGGTTTGTCATTGTAATTAGCATTTAGGACTTGAATCTTCATTAGAGAAATTAAATATTTGCTGATTAATAAATGTTAAGCAACGCCTAAACAAATATTGTTTTCGCAACTTTACTCATCATGTAATAATTGTGTTTAAAGAACTTCATGCAATTAAAATTAACATACATTCATTGACTGCTTCTTTTACTTTTTCGCTGGCGATATAATCTCATTCTTTGAAGAGCTGTAATATCTGTCTTGCCTAAAAAATATTTTTCGTTTTCATAACTTCAAAGATTTATAGAAACTACTAATAATATAGAAATAATTTCTAATCAATAAACTTACGTTTAATACACGGCACAAATGTTAAATTTTTTTATTATTTTCAAGGAACAGGGTAAAATATTCTTCTGATTCAAGCCTTTTTCATTGAATCAAGATTTGTACTACGAAGTTAAATAAATAAATGTTTCTATGCCAATTTACTGGTACGCATACAACGACAGATCTCTATTCACATACACGACCACTAATCACAATCGACCCGTATAGAAATGATATGAACAGTTCGGGCGTAACGGACTTCCGTTGCATTTGTATGGATTTACACCCTAGTCGCGCCTAAAGAAGTTTTACTTCAAAAATGTATTAAAATGTTTTGGCAAGTCTTTTATTAAAAGTTGAAACATTTATTCAGGATTGCAAAATGGTTAATTACTTAATAATTTTATTAGTGAAAATTTTGCAGTAAAATATAAATACCTATGATTTTTGCTGGTGCATCTCGTCGTCTTATTTTTAGGTTTTTATTTTTTACTCGATTTTTTTATCATAAAATTATCAATTAATTTACCATTTTACAATCCTGATTAAATGCGCCAACTTTTGATAAAACTTGCCAACATAGTTTAGAACATTTTTTTAAGGAAGGGGCCTCTCAAAGTAGACCAAAATTCTAAATTTTTAAAAATTTGGGGCAATTGTGTCATTATTTTTGACCTAGGGGCCCTAGAAATATTAATTCACTCTTCGGTTCCAAATTTTAAATGAGCAAAAACAATAAAATTTAACCACGATGACAAAAAAAATAGTAAAAGTTTGACCAATGCTTTAAAAGCTCATAATTTTTAAATTAGATTATTTTTTTGAAATTTGTACTCGGCTGTACGGATATCGACAAGAAAATCGGCATAGATAAATGAATATTTTAAAATTACATCGTAGTACAAATCTTGATTTAATGAAAAATGCCTGAATCAGAAGAATATTTTACCCTGTTCTATGAAAATAATAAAACAAATTAAACATTTGTGCCGTGTACTAAACGTAAGTTTGTTGATTAGAAATTATTTCTTGATTATTCGTAGTTTCTATAAATCTTTGAACTTATGAAAACGAAAAACATTTTTAGGCAAGACAAATATTACAGCTGTCTCAAGAATGAGATTATATTGCCAGCTAAAAAGTAAAAAAGATACAAGCAGTCAATGAATGTATGTTAATTTTAATTATATGAAGTCCTTAAAACACAATTATTGCATGATGAGTGAAGTTGCGAAAAAAATATTTGTTTAGGCGTTGTTTAACAAATATTATAGAATTTATTAATAAGCAATTACTTCATTTCCCTAATGATGGTTCATTTCTAAATGCTAATTACAATGACAAACCGATCATGTATTTGAAGTATGACTTTATTTTTAATGCCATTATAAATATATAATTTATAATTTATCGGTCATAGGTCATAGAACATCTATTACTATTACTTTTTGCTCAGTATCTAATTTATTATTATTTTTTTCCCCAGATACAATTCCATCAGGAGACTTCACCAAACAGTACGGTGAAAGCCTCTCAATAAAATGCGTTATAGACCTGGCGCTGGCGCAAGGTCTAAATTCAAGTCACATAATTTTCGCAAACGGTTCTAAGGATCTTCCTCGAAACCTGACCAGGATAATAGACGAAAGGACAGCCGAACTGTACATCGAGAAACCTAAACCTTTGAACCAGATGTTCTATTGTAAATTGAAGAACCCGGACACGGGGGCTGATATATCTGTTTGCATGAATTTCGTCACTATAGGAAGTAAGTGGATAAAAGATATATATATATATATATATATATATATATATATATATATATATATAATCCATCTAATTTTTAACTGTATTTATATTTTCAGCGCCTCCACAAGATCCTGATGACTTTCATTGCGTTTCCCACAATTGGGACAATTTGTTGTGCGAGTTTCATCCGAAGGAAAATTATATACAAACGAATTATAGTTTGCAGTTTTATTTGCCGACTACCAAGAACAAGTAAGAAATTATTATATATATCTAAATATGTCTTGAATTTGATGTTGATACAATATATTTAATTTGAATTAAAAAGTCGGGTACTACATCAATAAAAATAGTTTGAAAGTTTTTAGGAATTTATTTAAAATCCATACGTTTCGGCTAGCATCTTAGCCTTCATTCAGTGGCAATCAGTTTAACTATAAAAATTAAAACTAAATAAATAATATATAAGAAATTTCATAGAAAAACAATAATAATGATAATAATAATAAAAAAACACAATTTTGTATCCTAATATAACATATGTAAGCATTATTAATCCATGGTATGAGTATGTGCACATTGATAAAATATATATTTTTTAACATCACAAATGGTAAAACACACGAATAAACATGATAACTCAATAAGTTGTCGAAACTATGTATTTACTGTTCGGAGTTTAGGATAGAAATGTCACATTTTTTCTTGGGGCAGTTTTTAGCATGTATTCAAATTTTACGAGAAATTAAAAAAGCGACGGGATCTTGACATTCTTTTTTTAATTTTGACACGCTATTTAGGAACCACATGTTTGTTTCGTTCAGGGCCGTATTGTCGAAGCGTCACATGCAATTGCTAAAACAACCCCTCAGCGAATCTTCTAATTACGTTCTCTTCAAAATGTAAAATTATTGGGTTGAAAAAATCTATATTATGGTTTAAATTATTAATATGCTCGGTTAGCATCGTCTTAAATTGTTTGAGATTTTTTGAGTACTTTTTTAAACCAAACCAGATGAGTTTTTTACGAAATAATGGGTTAAATTAAATTCAAATGTATTTTACGAAATAATAGCTACGTTATTCAACTAATGCAAAATATAAGTTTTATTGTACATTTTTTACAAAGATAACACTGCATATAACCTTGATATAGTATAACAATTTATTTATTTATCTTTTGTAAAATTGCTTTCTTTAACTTAGTTTGCTTTTTTATTTATTATTAACATAGGATAAGTTATTGTAATGGCAAAAAATCGAAAATGCAAATTTTTATATATGTTTACGTTTTAGAGGTTTCTGAACATTTTGGCATACCTTAGAAAAAATTGATGTATGCGGTTACAAATTTTCATTGACAATTTCGCGAACACGGTTTAACCAATTTGAATAATTCAAAAAATATTCGATTCCTACTGATAAGGAAACAATTTGGCAAAGGCAGGTCTAGCCGTTTCGGAGATCCCGGAAAAAACAATGCCATTTTAGCAAATTCAGTTTGCTCGTCAGTAGAGTCCTTTTATAAATTTCATGTCCAGGATTCAGTTTGCTCGTCAGTAGAGTCTTTTTTATATATTTCATATCTAGGATTATTCAGTTTGTTCGTCAGTAGAGTTCTTTTTATAAATTCCATGGCTAGGATTCAGCTTGTTTTTTTAATAACTTAGTTTTCGGTACGGAAAGTTCCAGCAATTTACCTTAATGCACAACTAGTTTTTTTATTGTTTACATCTTTGACATGGTAAAAGTTCAGTTGGTTTTTTTGTTAATTTTTATTGGGGTTAAATATAAAAAAAACTTTTGGATCTAACTTGAAAATGATACATCTTATAAAACATTTAAATAACGTACATACTAAGGTTTCGTAAACTAAATAACAGCGCTCAAGATAAAAAAAGATAACGAAACAAATGCTTTTGTTATGGATTTTCAAACATTGTCGTTCATCTCCTGATAAATAACCAGTGATAGCTGGTTATACATATTTTGCCCTCTACTTTCAAATATTGTAATTGAAAAAGTTCCTAACTTTACTTGTTTTTGAGATTCGGCAGCAGACCTTTTTACCTGTACTTTATTTTTTTACATTTTTTCTAATTACGTAATTCCTGTTTTTTTTAAAGCATTTATATTTACTTTTATTCAATAATTTATTTATTTTTTTACTAACTTAAAAATAACTATTCATCTTATAAAACATTCAAATAACGTAGGTTAAAAATTATATTAAGGTCTCGGTAAACTAAACAACAGTGCTCACGACCAAAAAAAGAAACTAGCAACGAAACAAAATATGTACTTTTGTTGTGGATTTTCAAACATTGACGTTCACCTCCTGATAAATAACCAGTGATAGCTGGTTATACATCTTTTGCCCTCTACTTTCAAATATTGTTGTTAAAAAATCCCTAACTTCACAAAAAATAACAATGAAAGAAAATACTTTTGTTATGGATTTTCAAACATTGCCATATCATCTTCTGATAAATAACGAGTGATAGCTGGTTATACATCTTTTGCCCTCTACTTCCTGATAAATAACGAGTGATAGCTGGGTATACATCTTTTGCCCTCAACTTTCAAATATTTTTGTTGAAAATATTTAACCTTACTGTTTTTGAGATATCGGTAGAGAACTTTTTACCTGTTCCTTTTTTTTACATTTTTTCTAATTACGTAATCCTTTGTTTTTTTAGGATACGATCAAATGCACAAACATGCAAGACAACGAGGACAGAAAAACCAAGTCCTGTTTTTGGGATCTAGGAACTCGTTTCCAATATCGACAGCAATATGAATATTATACTTTTATCCTGACGATGAGCAATAAATTCGGCAGGAATAAATACGAGTATAATTTCTCTCATTATGAAAATGGTAAGTGGAAGATCTAAATATCTAATAAATGTATCAATCTAGTTAGATATTTATATTTGTGTTCTTTTATCAGTTATACCAGCCAAGGCAAGTTTTTTGGAGATCAGAGACAAAAAAGAGCACAGTGCTCTGGTTGTATGGAACGTGACAAGACCTTTGAACACTTTTCCAAAAGGATTGCATCATATGATAAAAATATACTTCCCAGTATGAAAATAGCACTACACAGTGGAAGGTAATAAATATGCACACATTTATTAGTGTCAACCATTATACACATTTATATGATGATAAATTATAAATTATATATTTATAATAGCATTAAAAATATGTATAATATTTAAAAACAATAATGTAATCAAAATCATACTTCAAATACGACATGATCGGTTTGTCATTGTAATTAGCATTTTGGACTTGGACCTTTATTAGAGAAATGAAGTAATTGCTGATTAATAAATACTAAAATATGTTAAACAACGCCTAAACAAATATTGTTTTTGCAACTTCACTCATCATGTAATTGTGTTTGAAGAAGTTCATGTATTTAAAATTAACACACATTCATTTACTACTGTTTGTATTTTTTTACTTTTTAGCTGGCGATATTCAGTTTGCACGTCAGTAGAGTCCTTTTTTAAATCTTATATAAAAAAATCAAGTTCAATTTACTCCTCTGTAAAGTCCTTTTTTATAACCTTGCTCGTCAGTAGAATCCGCTTTTCAAGAAATTAAATATTAATAATTTTGCTCGACAGTAGAGTCCCTTTTTTTAATTAATAATTTTGCTCGTTAGTAGAGTCCCTTTTTTGTCTTTTAGATCAATTTTGTACATTTCTATCAAGTTATTTGATCAATTGTCAGTAGAGTCCCTTTTCTATTGTGTTGTTTATTTATTATTCATTTGTCAGTAGAGTCCCCTTTTTGTCTTTTTTGTCAGTAAAGTCAGTAAAGTCCAATTTCAAATATTTTAAATTAAAATTGAGTTTGCTCGTCAGTAGAGTTCTTTTTTAGAAACATTTTTTATTCATATTTTGTTCAACAGTAGAGTCCCTTTCTTCTCTTCTAGATTGAAATTAAAATTTGCTCGTCAGTAGAGTTCCTTTCACAAAACATTTTTCATTAATATTTTTGCTTATCAGTACAGTCCTTTTTAGTATCTGAATTAATTTTGCTTACCAGTAGAGTCCTTTTTCTTTTTCTAAGTTGAAATTAAACTTTGTTTTTTTTAGTTTGCCTATCAGTAGAGTCCTTTTTATATTAGCTAGTTTCAAATTTGCTCGTCAGTAGAGTTCTTTTTAGAGACATTTTTTATTCATATTTTGCTCGTCAGTAGAGTCCCTTTCACAAAACATTTTTCATTAATATTTTTGCTTATCAATACAGTCCCTTTTAGTATCTAAATTAATTTTGCTTACCAGTAGAGTCCTTTTTCTTCTTCTAAGTTGAAATTAAACTTTGCTTTTTTAGTTTGCCTGTCAGTAGAGTACTTTTTATATTTGCCAGTTTCAAATTTGATCGTCAGTAGAGTCCTTTTTGTATTTTGTTATCGATCAAAATTTTGTTAGCTTGTCAGTAGAATCCCTTTCTAACTTTAAGATAAAATTTATGATCATATTTTAACTATTCGATTTTTTTGTTTGCTCGTCAGTAAAGTCCTTTTTAATCTTTTAGATCAAAAACTAAAGTTTCCTCGTCAGTAGAGTCCTTTTTTATATGTTTCCTTTCTATATCTTTTATATCTATACCAGTTAGTGGAGATCTTTTTCAGTTTTTATATTTACTAATTTTAAATTTAGTCATCAGTAGAGTCCCTTTTTATCAACTAGGTTGTAATTAAAGTTTGCTTGTCAGTAGAGTAGAGGATTAAAATTATGTTTGTTTGTCAGTAGAGTCCTTTTATTTTTTCTGTCGTTTGATAATTCTTTGAACAGCTTTAGAATCTGTCTTGTCTATAAAAACATTATCTATTTTAATATAGAAATAATTTCTAATCAATGCACTTACGTTTAGTACACGGTACAAATGTTTAATTTGTTTTACTATTTTCAAGGAACAGGGTAAAATATCTTTTTGATTCGGGCATTTTTTATTAAATCAAGATTAGTACTACGATGCAACTTTAAAATGATTATTTATCATACAACGACAGATCTCTATTCACATACACGACTACTAATCACAATCGACCCCTATAGAAATGATTTCATCGAGAGCGAATGACTTTCACTTGACCTTGCCGTAACAATTTTCGTTGCATTTGTACGGATTCACACCCTAGTCGCGCCTAACGAAATTTTACTTCAAAATATATTTTACAATATTTTATCTTTTATCCCAGGTTGCTGATACGTCTTCGATCCCCATAAAATCCGAACTCCAATACCAGTTCGAATTGAAAGACTTAAAATACGCCTACACATTGTACGAAGTACGAGTTCAAATAAAATCTGCAGTAGCTCCGAATGAAACCAGCAAATGGTCCGAGTACAGATCAGTGTTCTTCAAAACTTTACCAGAAAGTAAGTACATAGTTGTAAATTATAATATTTGTTGTGACCAGATTGGTGATTGGTTTGTTTGTTTTTGTTTTTTTAGAGCCTTCTAGGCCGCCAAATACAGTCATCAGCAGTTACGAAGTGGTCAACAAGATTGGAATGAGGGATGTCATTATTTATTGGCAAACTTTGGAGGAGTATGAGAAGAATGGAAGGGATTTCAAGTATAGTGTGCAGATTAGCGAAAATGGACGAATGTTGTAAGTAAACTTTGTATATGTTGTTACTAGATATGGGTTAGGTATTGGAAAGAACAGTCGTTGCAAGAAACATAATGTACTACATCAGTATTGTTATTGGATGGAGGAGATTTAATGTTTGTAAAAAATTGTTGAAGGAGCATAAAGATGAACCTAACACTAGAATGTTTTCATCCACCAGAATTTTGACGAAATAAAAATATAACTCTTCCACGTATGATATGCTGCTTATATAAAAATACTTACAGAAAATTAATCACACAAAAATACACTACACTATTACACAGTAATAAACCAAGCTATTAATAATTGGAACATTTAAAACTAATGATTTTTGACAATTTTTTTTTGTTACATTCTAGTGTGTACAGAGTTATTGGCATCTAAAAATTTAATGAATTGCGTTTTCAATTTTTTTTGTGAAACTGTGAAAAGACTGGTAACCATATGCTTTTTTGTAAAATAATAAAATACACGCTTCATTCAGATTTGATGGAGGTCTGAAAAATGATCAAGGATTATTTTATAGTCATTGCAAAGCGAATTGTGCGTTCTTTTATTTATAGTTGATTCATTGTGTAATGATATTAGGCATCCTTCGCTAAATCTTTTTTTAAATGTGTCTCAAATTAAATGTGTCTCAAATTATGATATAAACTAATATAAATTATATTAAATTATTAAAAATTAATTCAGACTAATATCAGTAATACATGATAATCATAATTTCATCAATATGCATTATATTCAAATTATTACGGTACTTTAGTACTCATCACACACATATATAGAATGTTGGCAGTATAATAATATTCTAACAGTAAAGAGTCTTCTTAGTACATTTTATAAAGATTATTTAAAATAGTTTTCATACAGAAATATACTGATCACTTATTAAGAAATGTTTCATGATTTGTCAAATCAATTGTCTTGATTTATCTTTGGTCTGCAATAAAGCTATACATTATGTATAATGTCAAGTTTTATATAAGACATTTAATTATCTGTTTAAATTGTCTGTTATGCCAACCAAGTTTTTCATTGTCCTTCATATATTTATGTTTAATATGCTGTATTTTGTTTAATTTAGTATCATTATAACTATAATGCAAATGGCCTAAAACAGTAAAACCTCAATCTATCAAATAGTCTCAAAGAAAAATCTCACTTTAATACTATGAAAACGCATAATGGAATTTTTTTTAGAACTAGTTTACTACATTTCAATTTGAATGTATATATAGTATTAACATTAAACTTACATGTTTGCAGATGTTTTCTAAAAATGACAGTATAATAGCACATGTAACGCAAATACTACAAATCAAATATCTGAATAAATAACACAAAACATCTTTACTTTGCAAAAAATAATCAGTTACAAATATATATATATATATATATATATATATATACATAAAAAAAATATTGATTTTGAGATTTATGTTGAAATAAAATTCATTTTTGTTATTGATGTTATTCCCGATTATTAGACTAGATTAGATTATATATATGTGCATGCATGTATGTATGTATGTATGTATGTATGTATGTATATATATATATATACATATATACATATATATATATATAATATATATATATATATGTATATATGTATATATATATATATACATACATACATACATACATACATACATACATGCATGCACATATATATAATCTAATCTAGTCTAATAATCGGGAATAACATTACATTAATCTGATTAATTAATCTGATTAATCACATTAATCAGATCAACATAACATAGATTTTTCCAATCTCACGATCCTACATTTCGAAAATAATTTATTTATATATATATATATATATATATATATATATATATATATATATATATATATATATATATATAAATAAATTATTTTCGAAATGTAGGATCGTGAGATTGGAAAAATCTATGTTATGTTGATCTGATTAATGTGATTAATCAGATCAACATAATGATACAGTGTTAGCATTGTTTTTTACTGGTTTTTGTGTTTAAAATTGTTTTTATGTTGTCAACTCAACTCAACTCCAAATTCACATATTTCAATACATACATATATATATATATATATATATATATATATATATATATATATAATGACATCATTGTTTTTATAATTTCAGGCCCAGGCTACCCGACAGAATCCAAAACAACTATGCAAACTTCACAAATCTAGACTTGGACAAAGAATACGAATTTTCATTGACTTCGGTTAACGAAAAAGGAAAATCTGATAACAGTTCCTTGATTCATGTGCCGAGATCAGATAGAAGTGAGTAAAAATATAAAATAAAAGTACAATAATAATTTAGTTAATTTATATTAGTTTATTTTATAATCCAAGACCACTTTTTTGTAATTAATGCACTACTAGTGCTGCAATTTCCCGTACCTAATTTTTTTTTTAAACAAGATTCATTTTTTTTAGCTAAAACAAATGCATGTTTGAGAATTTTGAAATATTTGAAAAAAATTACTACTTCGAAAAAATACTTTTTATTATGAAATAATATGCCAAAATGTTCAGAAACCTCTGAAACGTAAAGATATATAAAAAATTTCATTTTCGATTTTTTTGCGCTTACTATAACTTACTCTACAGGAAGTTAAAAAACATTTTGAATTGAAGGTTTTTTTGTATATCGAAGGTTGTGAAATGCATTTAGGTATACCAGACTAGGTCTTTTGTCTGGGTATGTTGGACTCAATAAATAACTTACGCTTATCTCTTGCCTCTTGTCCACACGGAAGCTAACCCTTAGGCATTACTTCAAAGGGGGAGGTTCTAGAATACTATAATTCCCACTTTAAGTTAAATTGTTTGCCTAATTAGCAATTTTTCCGAAGATCGCAAATCTATTAGAATTTTAAAATGCTTAACTAAAATAAAAAACCTGTTTAACACTTAAAGATAATACATCTTATAAAAAATTTAAATAAACATAAAAGTTATGTGAATTAAATATAAAGTTATGTGAATTAAACAACAGTGCTCAGGACCAAAAAAAACCTAACAACGAAAGAAAATATTTTTATTATGGTTTCATTTACTTCTAGGGGGAGGCTCTAGAGTTCTATAATTCGCTCTTTAAGTTAAATTTTTGTCCTCATTAATCTTTTTATCCGAAAATTACAAGTATATTAGAATTTTAAATGCTTATAGAAAAATCATTTATAAAATCCCAATACTCAATCAAATTTTATATGATTGTTTTATTTATTTTATGTGTATTTTTCTATTTTCAGTTGTAAGTCAACCTAAGCTGTTCACAAAAATCTCATTGAGCGATTATGTTTATTTGTTGTCCTGGAAAAGACCTGATGGTGTTGACGATATTTCAAATTACACTATTTTTTGGTGCCAGAGTGGATTTGAAAGGCCTACTATTTGTCCAGTGAGTAGAAAACTTATAAATAATTAAATAAATATATATATATATATATATATTTATATTATATATATAATATATATACATGCATATATATATATATATTATATATATATATATAATTATAAACAAGAAAGTGCTTTAATGGCATCCCCTCCAGTTAATAAATAGGAAAATAAGTAATATTAAAAAAATTACTAAGTTTATATGTTTTGAATCCCAATTTGACTCTTTATAAAATGGAACTACAAAACTAGAAAAAATTGTTTTAATTTTAAAATTTGGCAAATTATAGAAACATTCTTCTTTGATTTTACTAATTTACTAAATTATTTACAATTGTATGGGATTCTTACATCTAGTTTTATAGTTGTTTTTTTTTTTTAATTTCAATATTTATTACAACTGTTAAATAATTAACATCTAGCAGTATTGATAAATAATAACATAAATTTAAATAAATAAGAGTGCAAAGAATAGAATTCACATGAAAATAATATCCGTAATATGATGATTTAATATAAAATAGAAGCAAATAATAATAAGAATAACATTAATAAATAATATAAATAAAAATTTTGAATAATAAAATAATATTAGAAAAACAATAAAATATAACAAAATAACAATATTAGAAATAATAAGATAATAATAATACTAATAATCATATAATTAATGTTAGCATTTACAAATGGCTATTTATGAGTTTATGGGTATTTATTTATTTAGTTTTATAGATGGTAACCTTTTCATAGCAAATATCTTAGAATTGTTTTCAAAATGCTTGAGTGCATAGAACGGATAAATTTATTAATATTTTTATTTTACCTTTCTAGTTTTTTTCGTAAGCTTTTTAGTATTGTTGGATGTTAGTTCATTTCTTAACTACTATTTTTATTATTCCAGAATTCTTTAGAATGGCACACAGTACCAGCAAATGAAAGTACACACAATGTAACCGTGAAGACTAATAAAAATTATCAATTTGCAATATCAGTCAAACACCGACATCGAACAGTGGAATGAAATGGGCCAAATGTACTGTACTCGAAACAGGTAATAAATTAATCATTTGAAGATAAATAACATTATCCATCGATTTATTACGATATTATTAAATTTGTTGTTTATTTCAGGTGTTGGAAAGATCCACATCGTCCGAATCGATCACATCGGAGACACTTATGTGAATCTCAGTTGGGTTTTGGAATGTTCTGAATTAATGGGCGTGATTACCTCATTCAAAATTTACTACTGTGTTCTAACTTCACCTGATGGTTATTGCGAAGGTAAAAATATAATACATACATAATCCTGGATATAAGTTTGATGGCTTTAATTTATTTTATCCTTTTAGGTCCCAAAATGAACGAAACAATTCTGCCCAAGGAGGAATACATGTCGGCTACAATAACCGGACTTAAACCGTATACGACGTATCAAGTTAATGTTTCTGTGGTTTCGCATAAGAAAGAAGGTTTGCCGAGCAATCCTAAATATTTGACAACCCTTGAAGCAGGTAAATAAGAAATAATATATATATATATATACACCTAAGTCTGTTTGTACACGGTCTTTTTGTACACGGTTTGGATATAACACGGTTTGAAAATTGAATATTTTTAATTTTTTTACACGATTTTATTCCATTTAGCACGATTTGAAATTTTATGTACTTAAATTTTTTTGTCAAATTTAATTTTTGCGATGTATGTTCATATCACAAAAAAGTACTTATGAAAGAAAAAAGTCTGAAACTATCGATAGTATCGATAGTTTGCAAATACTAGCTTAAAGATTTAAGTGAATTCCCCTTTAGCGCGTACAAACAATTTTTACTGGTCAAAGCGAATGTGAATAGCATAATTTAGGGGAATTATTATTGAAATAAACATGAATTCTTGTTCTTGAAAATTCTTGTTTTTCACTAATTTTAATAGGTTTTAGAGAGTAGGACAAATCACCCATTTTGTATAAGATCAATGTCTTTTT